GCCGTTGCTGAGTTTAGACTACGTACCGGACACGATCGCTCGAACAGGAGGAAATGGAGAAGACCCACCTGATTCGGTGTCCATCTCTAAAAACAATGACGGAAAGCCAGAGATACTAGGAAGCAAGAAGACAGCTAATGAACTGCTATAAATGTACTCCCCACCCTTGGGGGAAGCTGAAGTGAAAGTTTAAGGGCTAATGATAAATAACACAAAGCCTGCCATTTGAAAAAAAATATTCTCAGAGTGAACGCATTCAGCCTCTCCTCAAACTTTGGACAAAACGAGGTCAGTAATGTCGTGTTCCAGAAGATCTGTGTTTAAATATCCCATTCTCGCTATAATGTGCAATCACCGTACTGTTTCCGAGTAGAACATATTTATTTATTTATATCAAATGGCAGGCTTTATGATATTTATCATTAGCCCTTTAGTTGACTGCAGGCTTCACAGAGGGGAAGAAACATCAAGTTGAAAAAAGTCGAGGGGGGGGGGGGGAACAGAAGAGTGTTTCAAAGATGTCAGAGACAAACACAAAGGTAGAACAAAGGTGAGGTGAGTACTGTGAAAATAGTCGAATATGGCATAGAGTGAGGTGATGGTAGTTTGAAGTGAGAAGTCAACTGCCAGCTAATAGACTTTTTCGACGTATGAGTATACGTTACCCAGGGTGCAGCACGTGGAGGTAAGTCTATCGCACACCCCTAGTAGAACATTAATAATGGTAATAACCTGTAATTTTGGAACGTAGACTCGATGACTCGACTTTGTCTGACTCCCAATTAAAATAACTTCAAATACAGATATGGAATTTATGAGCTCAGCATGACAGAGGAATAATTTCTATCTCAAGAGAACGACTTGAGTGTTTGACCTCATTATCTCATATAATACGATGTAACCCAATTCAGATACATCCTCGCATGATCTGTTGGAATTTAGCATGTGCAATAGACTTACCTCCACGTGGTGCACCCTGGGCAACGTATACTTATATGGCATAAAAGTCTATTGATCAGCAGTTGACTTCTGACATCAAACTATTGGGTGGGCAGCTAAGTCATTGCCGTTTTTGTTGACAGATTCACTCTATACTTTCTTTTGTTTTGTTAACGTGGCCAGAGCATCTAACCTATATTTTTTCTTACTGTATGGGCTTCTAGGTTAATTAGTAAAAAATTTTTTTTGTTTAGTTCTTTAGTTTTGTTTTTATCCCAATTTAAAAATGAAAGAACAGGACGTGCACTTCCGACACATTGTATTGTATTACTTCCGAAAAGGCAAGAACGCATCGCAAGCACAAAAGAAGTTATGTGCCGTATATGGAGATGAAGCCTTAAAGGAAAGGCAGTGTCGAAATTGGTTTGAAAGATTTCGTTCCGGTGATTTTTCACTGACAAATTCACAACGATCTGGCCGCCCAGTCGAAGTGGATGAAAACCATATCAAGGCCATTATCGATTCAAATCGTCACAGCACAACACGAGATATTGCAGAGAAGCTCAATGTGTCGCATACATGCATTGAAAAAAAAACGAAAAACCCTTGGCTATGTCAAGAAACTTGATTTATGGATACCTCACCAGTTAAAGGAAATTCATTTGACGCAACGGATTAGCATCTGTGATTCGCCGCTACTGAAACGCAATGAGAATGAGCATGATCCATTTCTGAAGAACCTAGTTACTGGCGACGAAAAGTGGATAATTTATAACAATTTTACTCGCAAGAGATCATGGGTGAAGCAAGATCAACCACCCCAAACAGTATCAAAAGCAGAGATTCACCAAAAAAGATTATGCTGTCAGTCTGGTGGGATCACAAAGGAATTTTGTATTTTGAACTTATGCCGCAGAACCAAACGATAAATTCAAATGTATATGTTGAACAACTCGAAAAACTGAAGGATGCAATTGAAGATAAGCGGCCGGCATTATCAAATCGGAAGGGTGTTGTTTTCCACACATCTTTGGTTACTCGGCAAAAATTATTGGAACTGGGTTGGGATGTTTTGTCACACCCACCATATAGCCCTCACCTTGCGCCTTCGGATTACCATTTGTTTCGTTCCATGCAAAACTCTTTAAATGGTAAAATTTTTAACAACGCGGATGATGTCGGATCACACCTAATTCAGTTTTTTAATAGCAATGACCAGACATTTTACGAACGGGGAATTTTTACTCTGCCAGAACGATGGAAAAAGGTCATCGACAAGAACGGCCAATATCTAATTGAATAAAGTTATATTTTTAAACAAAAATTCCTAATTTGCCTTCTTATTTGAAATCGGCAATGAGTTAGTTGCCAACCTAATACCATGACCCCATTGTATGTCATATTCGACCCCCTTCCAAAGTACCCATCTTACCATTTTTATGCCTTTGTGTCTGACTGTCTGTCTCTTTTACATCACCTTTTTAATGCCTTTGTGTCTGTCTGTCTGTCTCTTTTACATCTGTGAAATTTCCCCTGTCGAATTTTTCTCACTTTAATGTTCCTCCCTGGGGTGTGTGATAGACTTTGTGTCAGTCTGTCTGTCTCTTTTACATCTGTGAATCACTCTTCTGTCCCCCCTCTCGACTTTTTGTCACTTTGATGTTCCTCTGTGAAGCACGAAGTCAACTAAAGGGCTAATGATAGTCCCCATCTCGACTTTTTGTCACTTTGATGTTCCTCCTCCTACCCCTCTCGACTTTTTGTCACTTTGATGTTCCTCCTTCTCTCTCGACTTACTCTCGACTTTTTGTCACTTTGATGTTCCTCCTCCTCTCTCGACTTTTCGACTTTTTGTCACTTTGATGTTCCTCCTCCTCTCTGTGTCGGACTTTTTGTCACTTTGATGTTCCTTCTCCTCTCTGTGAAACCCCGAAGTCAGCTCCAGGGCTAATGATAGCTATCAAATCACCTGCCATTTGATATAAATAAATATAAGTATGTAGCTTCGATACGTTGCAAAAGGTACCAATTGGCTTTTAAACATTATCTGACCAAATTATTCAAAAGCAAATGGAAAATTTACTATCGTAGAAAAATATATAAGTTTTGAAAATAGGTACGTATAACATGAAATGCAGCATTTACCAATGAGACCGAAAAGAGAAACTTGAAGATTTCAGTCCAATAAATTCTAATCACCTCAAAAGCTCGAGTAGTGATTGATTTCCCTCTCTAAAAGTGACCGTTTACGTTAAGACCTTCTGACCTGGAAACACGAATATTTCAATATTACACATATAGTAAACATGTTCAAAAATATTTCTTGAGCAAGTTGCCCACATGGGTGGATCTAGCAGACCAAGAATTCAAAAAGACATTTTTTCAATACCCCCAAAAAAGAAGTTTCACGAAATTAGTATCAAGTCACTTAAATCATTTGAATAAAAATTTAGGCAGGAGAATTTCTAAAAATACAAAAAATATAGTTGTTTGAGGAAGTAAAAATCCGAAAGCGAGCATTAGAATTTAATTATTTTCAATAAAAAAGGAATAGGACGATTAGTCCAAATATGGAGCGTCAAAGCTCTCCTTTTTTATATTTATTCAACGTGATATAGATGTAAATGAACGAGGTTAACAGGAATAGGTTCTTACCTATGAGTCACCCAGGCATGCCACTTCGGAATTCTACGAGCAGACGACAAACTGAATACACCTGTTAGGCCTGAGTTCAAGTTCAAACCAATTGGAACCCCATATCGACCATGCAGGTTACAAGATCCAATCAGAAGCACCTTGTCACCCACAGAGTGAGCCAAAGTTGTAGGAGTGCGAGACGAGGCAGAGGAAGCCGAAGTGTGATCATTCAGAGGTATTTCATGGGAGGGGATGGGTTGAAGACTATCTGAATCCGGAGTCCGATCTGCTCCAATCGAGGATGCCGAAGAAGAGAGATGATTCGCAAGGATAACCTGGCCAATCTCTGAGGACGATGAGGCTAAAGATGGGAGATTTTCTCCCAATGCGAGGCTGGAGAATAGCAAATCGTCAACTTCCAGTGTTACCTGCATCTCGTAGAGCTAAAAAATTTAATTCTTAATAAATGTTTATTTCAAATATTATATCAAATGGCAGGCGTTATGATAGTGATCAATAGCCCTTTAGTTGACTTCAAGCTTCACAGAGGGGAAGTAACACCAAAGTGAAAAAAGTCGAGAGGAGGGGGAATAGAAGAGTGCTTCAGAGACAGATACGAAGGTAGAAAAAAGGTAAGGCGAGTACTGTAGAAGTGGCCGACTATGACATACAGTGGGGGAGGTAGTTTGAAGTGAGAAGTCAACTGCCGGTTAATAGACTAGTAGTAAGATGAGTACTGTGAAGGGGTCGAATATGACAAATAGTCGGGCCATAGTAGTTTGAATTCGAGAAGTCAACTGGCGATCAATAGACTTTTTTGCCGTATAATCTGTGGATGGGGCCGAATATGACAAATAGTCGTGCCATAGTAGTTTGAAGTCACCGATCATTAGACTTATTTTGCCGTATGAGTATGCGTTGCCCAGGGTGCACCACGTTTTTGCCGTATGAATATACGTTGCCCAGGGTGCACCACGTGGGCAGTTTGAAGTACCAGTCAATAGACTTTTTTCCGCATAAGTATACGTTGCCCAGGGTGCACCACATGGAGGTTGTAAGTACACGTTGCCCAGGGTGCACCACGTGGAGGTAGCCGTATGGGATGTCAACTGCCGGTTAATAGACTTTTTGCCGTATGATTATATGTTGCCCAGGGTGCACCACGAGGAGGTAAGTCTATCGCGCACCCCTTATTTCAAATATAAATGTATTTGAATGCAATAAAAGGAATTTAATTTAACATGCCACAATTGCGTCAAATTTTACTATCCCATTTTATTTGCGATTAACCAAGAACTCAACCAAGAATCCGAAGATCAAATCCTGAGATTAGAATATAATAAAAAGAAAAAAATGAGTGTACAAGCTAAATTAAATGAAGAGACATTTTGTTAGTACTTGGGTAAAAAGTCTATTCTACCACCTTCCTCTTAAAATATTTATTCATTTATATCAAATGGTAGGCGTCTTGATGGTTATCATTAG